CCATAATTTAAAATTTATAGCAATTTGGAAGGGTGGGGAGGGTTTACATTCTCCATTTCAGGGGAGGCTCCTGCCTTCCTTAGCAGACTCCTGTCTTTCCAAACCAAGACAGAAAACATCTCCCAAACTTTGACACACAGCTCTCACACAGCCCGGAGCAGCCCCAGGCTCCCTGGAACACTGGGAGCACAGAGAAAGGTGAAGGGGGAGCAGATGGAGAGGGAAACAAAGCACAGCCTGGAATCCAGCTTTTGGCAGCATCCCTTTTTCAGGAAGATCAGATCAGAGGGCTGAGCATGACAGTGTGGCCAGGGAAGGGCAGCCCTACCTGTTTTTCTGAGTGGGAAGTCGTCTTTGGAATCGTACATGCCCAGGACTGGGTGGTTGTAGGTGCCGGAGACGCCGCTTTGGGGTGGGGAGCTCTGGTCCAGAGAGCTGTGCTGCGTCTTCCTGCACAGGAGGAAAGAGAAGAAGGGACAAGCTTTACACCAGTGACACAGAGGGGATGAGCCTGACACCTCAGGGAGTGGGGAAGGAGGCAAAAGCAAAAGCTGTGAACCCCCAGGGCAGCCTAGAAGCTCTTCCATTTCCCAGGAGCAGAGAGGAGAGGATGCCCTGTCCTTCAGCAAATCCAGTTTTCTAAGCTTGGCTTTTGGAGTCCTCCAGGAAGGGCACAGTCAGAAGTACATCCCCAAAGCCTGCCTTTCTCCTCCTGGCCACTCCTACACAAAACCCCACTATAATCCAATACACAGGAAGGCAATTCACTTAGTTTTCAGTGTAAGACTCCACCTTGGCTCAGCTCATACCACAAGTATAAATTCTAAGATGGTTAATTCTGTATCTTGGTTTTGCTAAGTCACCTTCCTGAATCTCAGCACAGGTGAGACCTCAAACTGAGCACTTCCCTCCCCAGAATAAGCCCCCATCTCAGCAGAGAGAGCCCAAGGCTGAAGCCATGGCACACAGGTGGCCCCCAGCCCTTCCTCCTGCCTGTCCTCCCATCCCAGGAGCTCAGCAGAGACAGGGCCAAAGCACTCAGCACCTTTCCAGCTCAACTTCCCCGAGATGATAATTTATGGCTTTGTTTGAGCAGGCTGCTGGAAGTAAATTACAGTCTGTTTGCTGAGGATATTAAATAATGAATGAGTTTTCCCAGCCTCCTACCAGTTTGTTGGCTGCATCTTTCCTGCTTAATGACTTGTGCCCAGCTTTGCTGTTTCTCAGGAGCTCCACCAGCCTGGGAGAAGGCTCCAGCCAGCAGAGCAGCTCCATCTGATTTAGCCATGCAGGTGACACTCACTGGGCTCTCACAACTTTATTTTAAATAAACAGAACTTAAACCCCTTATTTCTTCTACATACTAGAGGATTTAGGACAATGGAGAGCAAGCATTTTGTAAAAAAAAAAAAAAGGGAATATTTGAAATTTTATACTGCCTAAAAACCAAGCTGAAAATATTCTCCTGCAAAAGGTTCTTCAAGGAACCTAAATGAAATTTCCCAGCTGGAAATTGCACAAATTCACACCATTTCTCGAGCAGTACTAATCCCTTGAGTGCAAGCCCAACTCAGAACTTGGCTGCTGAGATCCAGAGCATCAATTCCACTGCAAGTTAAAGCCTTCAAAAAATAAGGGGCTAATAAAATACTAGGAAAATACACTGAATTTTCTACATAATTAAGAAACTTTCTGCAAATTTTATTTGAACATCAACATTTTCTACTCCCACAGACCTTCTAGTGGGAGGTGTCCCTGCCCATGGCAGAGGGTGGAATGGGATGGGCTTTAGGGTCCCTTCAGCCCAAACCATTCTGGGATTCTATAGAAGCATGAATGACTGTGGTTTCCCAACCCTCCCTCTTCATTATCCAGATTTCTCTGCACATAAAGAAAAATGATTTCTGGGGCTCTTGCAGGGCTGTGTTTCCCACACCCACCCCATGCTGTGCCACATCCCCACCCCTGAATGCCCCCACGCACTCTTCAATCTTCACCTGCAATCAAAACAGAGACAAACTGAAAAAAAAAAACAATAATCCCTCCTGGGAAGAGATGTGGCTTTTTCTGCCAGGATCTGCTCATTTCATAGGAAGGCAGCACTCCCAGGAATGGTGCTTCACTCCCAGGAATCCTGGGTGCTG